CCCCTTCCCAGTTTTTGTGTGAGCCGCCCTGAGTCCCCTCAGGGAAAAGGGCGGCCTACAAATACTAATAAATTCAAATTCAATAAAGATTGGTCACCCTCCCCCCTCAATTTTAGTTTAAAGCCCTTCTGGTGAGCCAGTTGTTTTCAGAGTACAAGTAATCCCTGGTTAAGAGCGTTCCCTTAGTGAATGGCCAACTTGATGTCGCTCATGTCACTCAGTGTTAGATCCAGGAGCTGAACATTCTGAAGCACATTCTACCCTTCTGAAGCCCCCAACACTTTGAGTTTCCCTCCACCATCTGGCTTGACTGCCCAAGCGAACCTCTTCCCCTTCTCTTCTCCCGCTCTCCATCCTGGAGCGTCACGCACCCCCCACCCATGCCAATCCTCTGTACAAACTGCCCACCCTGTTTCTGCAAAGGCAGAGTCCCTCCCTGCCGGGCAATCCAAAGAGGGCAGGGGGATGCTACAGAAATGGCTGCCTTCCACCTAGGTCAGCATGTCTCTCATGCTGACTCCGCAGGGCTTGGGGCTCCGAAGCAGCCAACTGGCTTCCCATCTGCCCACCTGCCTGCTCTCTTTGCAGATCGGCCCAGTCAACCACCGGTGCCAGTCTGGGAACTCGGCCCATGGAGTCCAGTGCTCTGGGAGAAGGAGACTCACCCACAGTGCCGCTTCCTGCCAGCAAAGAAGCAAAGCAAGAGGCACAGAAGCAGCCAACAGGTGGGTGAGCAGCCCCCTGTGCAGGGAGAGGGCCAGCCACACCACCAAGGAGCCCACAGCACTTTCCCTTCATCCTGATGGCAGCGCTTCATCTTCACAAAGACCAGGTCGCTGTACTTGTAGTGTGGCACGGTTTACTTTCATGTCACGGCAGGAGAAGGAAGAAAGCAAATGGCAGTTCCGGGATGGTGCTCTGGGAGGGCAAGCGGACATCTGCATCCAGGCAGGGAGGGAGGGCAGCAAGAGCGGGCAAGATGGGAAAGGCGGCCCCAGAGCACCTAATGTTGGAGAGGCATGGCAATTGTTCAGCCAGGACTGCCTCGGTGGGGGCTGCATAGGCCTCTCTTCCAATGCCATGTCATGCTTCAGCCAGCTGCGCGACTACAAGTGTGGCACCCTGGGCTTCACCAAGATAAACTGCTGCAGCCCAGGCCAAAGGGAAAGCACCACGGGCCCTGCAGTGGCCTCTCCCCCATGGGGGGCTGCTGCCCACCCGCTTGCTGGTGGCTTCCATGCTTTCACTTCCCTTCTTAGCTGGTGGGAATCAGAGCCTCAGCCGAGTCTCCTTCCCTGGGAGCACCAGTCTCTATGGGCTGAGTTCCCAGAGTGGTGCCGGCAGTTGGCCAGGCCAATCTGCAAGGAGAGCAGGCAGGCAGGTGGCCAAGGGAGGCAAACTGACCCTGGTGGAAGGCTGTCTTTTCTGCAGCATCCCCCTCCCCTCTTTGGATCACCCTGCAGGGGGGCTCTGCTTTTGCAGAAATGGGGAGGCTGCATGTTCAGCAGCCCTGGGATATCTGCTTGCCCCCCGGAACACTGCTGCCACCACTGCCACCCCAGCACAGCCTCTGCGTCTCCACCAAGGGCTACCCTCCAACCCACTGGCTGGGACAGGCTGAATGCCAACCTCGGAAGACAAATGTGGGTGGGATAACTGCTGAGAAGGCCGCATGGAAGGCATGCAGGCACGGCAGGGTTGCATGGAAGGGAGTAGGGGAGGCAGGTTGGGGTGGTGGGGGGTGGCGTTGTCAACTAGCTAAGCTGCGACTTGCAAGCTTCCCTGGCAGAGAGATCGGGGGCGCAGCACTTCAGGTAGGCAAGCTGCAGAGCAGAGACTGGGCAGGGCAGGGCAAGTGAGTGGTGACCGGGGACTGGTTTGGGGGTGAGGCCATCCAGAAGTCACTACTGGTTCACCAGCCCAGGCCAATATCTGCTACTGGTTCTCCTGAACTGGTCCTAACTGGTAGGATTCCACGCCTGCCTCCAGTGATGAAAAAGGAGGCCCACGTTCTTCCTTCTGGGCCTCTTTCTCCAGATAACTGTTTGATGAGACCTCCAGTAATGAAACAGGAAACCCGGAGGGCTGCACACAGTCTCATTTTTCATCACGGGAGATCTCATCAAGCAAGAAAGGAGGATGCAGACAAACAAAAAGGCTTTAGAGGAGACAGATCTTCATGAAGTAAATCACCCTGGGCAGCAGGATAGGGAGGAAGCTATTGTGGGGACATCCCAGAGGAGGCAGAATGTAGTATCTGTGAGTTGGGGGAAACCTTGGATGCTCTTCAGCAGGTGACCTCTTCTATCACTTGGCTCCCACATGGCCTTCCCTACCATGAGATGCCTCATGTGCACTTAACAAATTGTACATTCGATTATTGAATACATGCGTGAAAGCAGAGAGTGATCTTGTTCAAGATAGGAGATTCACTCCCACCAATCCTCAGATGACAAATGGAATAGGCAGGCTCCATTACCTTTGTAACTCGAGGACTACCTACACATTTCCCCCTGTTTTGGAGCTGCAGTCCATCCCTTGCCAAGAGTCCTTCATATAGGTAATATAGTCCATGATCCAGGAAACCAAAGTTCTCTTGGTGACACCAACCCTTTAGCCACAAGTTTATTTCTAGAATTCTTTTTCCCTCAGTGGGTGTTGACCTTTCATTGGAAGTATAGATGAGAACACCACCTGTGCTCTCAGCTCCTTAACTTTTTTCCCTACGTGCTCATAATCTTTCAATATTGTGTTCAGGTTCTTTGTTGTGTCATTCATCCCTATGTGAAGGAGGAGAAAGGGGTAGTTATCTGTTGGCCTAATTCTTTTGTTGAAGTTCTCAGCTACATCTTTGATTTTTGTTCTAGGGAGACAACATACCTCCCTAGATTGAATGTCTGGTCTGCAGACAGCTGGCTTGGTTCATCTGAGAATATAATCTGCTATCATCAAGACTCGTCTCCCTTTTTTGGGGGGGAGGTCATCTGGGTACTTTTCTGTTTATCACAGATGTGTTTGATAATGTGACTTTTCAAGGGATATTTGATTATGTCTTTTTTTCTAGCTGTCTCCATGTGTTTGAGGAGGAGGTTGTGAGTCTGCATGTTTTAATCTGGGGGGAGAAATCAATTGCTCAGTTGTAATGGGGCTACATTGAGATTGGTAAGATTGGGTAGTAGGGGTTTGTTACATGTATGCTGCTTTCTTTGATTGTCATATTTCCTTCTGTGTGTGACATGCCTCCATTTACCTTCCTCCAAAGGTTTAGCCACAGGGTCAATTTCTCTAGGGGTTGTTTGTTCATTATTTGGTTCAATTTGGATATAATCTTGTTGCATAAATTGGAGTTTGGCTAGAGTTGCCTCTAGATCTTTTGCTTTTTCTTCTAGTAGTTCATGTAGTTTACATTTAATACATTTATAATTTGGGTATTCTTTGGGCATAAGCACACACATTGAACATATATCGCATACCACAATAATCTCAGTCATCTGTTCAACGAGTTTGTTTCTTTTTTGCTGACTGCTTTAAGGGTTAAATATATACAGTATATAAAAGTAGGAGATTTTGTCTCAATGTATATTCAAAGAAAAAATATAGTTTACAAATTTTTCATTTTGGTAGTTCATTGAAGGAATTAAGAGAATGCTGTCCTTCTTTGTTCTCTGACTCCACCCAACATAACATGCCCTGCTCTCTTCTCTAGTAGCAACAGTGGTATCACAACCTAGAAGATATTTTAATACTGTGTTACGTCAGGAAGGATGCTGGAAAAAAGGATGGATTAAATTAAACTTTTAAAGATCTCCCTTAAATTTAGATCAGTGGATCTTTGGCTTGAACTTGGCCTATCCATTTACTTTAACAATGACAAGAAAATGTCAAGCTGAATGATAGTGCAGATGTTCCCTTAGATTTGATTTCAAGCTCAAGACCTGGAATCTCAGACTGGGATAAAAGTTCCACTCTGAAACGCCAGGGAGCCACTGCTGATCCTAACCACCACCAACAAATCAGATGAGCAAGATTCAGTGGCAAAGAAATGATAATGGATCTTTATTGCCATTTGATCTTAAGTGGACAGAACATTTCTGTAATATGTTGGGTTTGCTTACCTTTCTGTCCAGTTTCTTCAAGTTTTTTTGCAAGATCATGTCTGTTGCATTTTCGAAGGACATCAATGCACACCTCTAGAGCATCTTCTCCATAATGTTGAATCAGGAGATCTACAATGTCTTGTGCCTCTGCTTTCTCCAGTGAAGCTCTAGGAATGTTTAGCCTTTCATTATAATCAATAGAATTTAGCCTCCATTTAAATTCTTTTAATTCTTTCACAAGGAGTTCATTCAATGCATTGTAAAGTTCTTCTTTCACAGAGTTATTCATGTCAATTATGATGGATATATCCGATCTAAAATTAAAATTAGAGAATTAAACTAATATGGAAAATTAGATTTGAAGGCAACAGTATTCAAGTTATACTAGTTAGCTTATTCACAAAGGCACGGCAGTTTATTCATCATTTCATTCATACTTGTTTCTGTATGTCACCCATTCCATACATTCTAGGCAGGCTATATTCCTAAAAGGTAGACAGCACTCATCCTGACCTGAGATGGCAAGCTATAACCAAGAAGCCTGTCCTTCAGGTTTCCACCTGTCTTTTCCAATGATGTGATCCCAGGACTTTCTTCTTGGCTTTAAAATAATGAGCAGACATATGTCCCAGGGTTGGG